AGAGTAGTAATGACGGCAAGAGAAGGTTCCCAATAGGAAGCCGATCAGTAGGTAGACCACGAAACTGATGGAATGACAACTTACTGGAGTCACGATTGAAAAACAGACTTAGTCATGTCTATATAAAAAGAAGTAGAAGAAGAAGGTGAAGTGCGTACGTGAAATCTATTTTTCTGTTATCGAAAGCCGTTAATGTTCTGCTATACGTTTGTTAAAAGTTCTACCAGTTTGAGAGATGTAAGTTTTTTGACAGTCTCAGTGGTGCTGGAGGGGCGCAGTGGGCAATAGAACGGTCTGGAAAGACTGAATCGGGAATCCAACTCACGACAGGTACGATTTACCTGGTACGGTTTTTAGAAGATTTTCACTCACACACAAAAAAAATAATTAATTATAAATTGAACTCTTAGACACAACCGGTTCCGAGTTAGGTAGAGCTCTAAAAGAAGTTTGAGATATAGAGATTTCTGAACGAACCACCAACAGAAGGATTATAAGACTAGAAAACAGTTAAAGGCCAATTGCATCGCTGATCACCAGGGAAAATAGAGTTGCTAGAGTATGTTTTGCTAGGGCTCATGTAAACTGAATTATTGATGACTGGAAATAAGTTATGGTTTCGAATGAAACCACTGCACCACGTTACAATTTTGAGGTGTTAATAAGTTCTGGGGAACCTGGTCAAATGCATTAAGGTAGAACGCCTTAGATGCATAGGGCATCTAATTAGGCGAGAGTCAGAAAACATAGAAACAACCGGTTAGTTAGAGCTCTAACAGAAGTTTGAGATATACAGTAAAACCTCCCTTAACCGAAACACTTTTAACCGAAACATCGTTTAACCGAAACGGCTGACAGTTTCAATAATTTCGTCAATAAAAAGTAAATTTTGATCGCAAACGTAGACAATTCTATTAATTTTACTACGATTGATGCTTATGTGTGTTGGGAAATCAAAAAAACCAAGAGTTCTAAAAGATGTTTCTTATGAAGAGCAAAAAAGCTCATGGATGTCGACCACTTTATTTTCAGAATGGTTCGAAAATGAATCGTTCCAAGTGTAAAATCCTTATTAAAGTAAAAAAAACTTCCCATCAAAGCATTGTTGCTTGTTGACAATGCGCCGAACTCATCCTCAAAATCTACAAAATAGTGACAATTGTCAGATTTTTGCCACCGAATATCACGAGCTTAATTCAGCCGTTAGACAAGGGAGTAATAGAGACATTCAAGGGACATTATAAAGTAGCATTCTTGAGACATCTGTTGATGTCTTGAGAAATTGGTTGTAGTTTCGGATAAAAAATAAGTCAGTATGAAGTCACCATATAGACATGAGTTTGATTGGAGAAGACTACAACATAGATTTGCTGACCACTTCCTCAAGATCTCTATTTGGTGATAAATTAATAATATTCTAATATCCTGCAAGGTAATTCCTTTGGATGTCGATGCGAAGTTGAATCATCGCTATGTATTGCAAATTTTTATATGAAAAATCTGAATTTAAATTTTTGTATCAATAATTTGTAATTTGTAGAAGAGCCAATTACACCTTTTACTTAGCTTATCGGCGACAACTTAATACCTATTTATAATAGATAAAGCTCGATCACAGATTATGGTACAAGACCTTGGCGAAGTAAATATTCAGGTTATAGCATGGCGATAGAGAGATATGAACTCTGTGGGATACACTTAAATCGGCAGATGCCGCTGAGCTGCTTCTATAATTCTTAAGTAGCTTAAAGAAGTTATGCTTGCTGAATGGGAGAATATTCCACAAGCCACCATCTGAATCTTAATTAATAGCATGTATAATTTTACTATTTTTTTAAATTAGTATTATATCACATCAACAATTTTGCTAAACGGTTAAAATATATTTGTTACAATTCACTATATACAGGGTGTATCAAAAAGGTATGTCATAAATTAACTCACTCATTCAGGAGACAAAAATTAATTGATTGAATCTAACTTACCTTAGTACAAAAGTGTACACAAAAAAAGTTACAGCCCTTTGAAGTTACAAAATAAAAAATGTTTTTTGCATTATCTCCTAAACTACTTGACATTAGTAATAAAAATGGACACGTTACTTTCTTGTTCTGAAAGTATTTTTCATACAAAAGAAACAACAAAATCTAAGAGCACAGAAAAATTTTAAGGCGGGTGTGCAGCCCTAAATCCTCCCAAACTTTTGAGTACCTTCAAATCAAATGAATTTTGTGGCATCATTAGTTTCACGTTTAACGCTTGATCACGTATTAAATGATGGGAGGCATTCCAGTAGTATAATAGACGTAAGAACTAGACGGGGACCAGATAGTGATACAGACCATTTCCTAGTAAACGCCAAGCTCAGAACTAGAATCTCAACAAAAACAACAGACAAACAGATGAAGATCGAAAGATGGAATGTGTTTAAATTGGAAGAAGAAGAGGGAAAGAGACAATACCAACTAGAATTGAGAAACAGATTTCAGGTGTTGGAAATGAAAGAAAATGAAAGAGAAAATATAGACCAGAAATGGAACTCCATTAAAACGATTATTACAGAAACAGCAGAGAAGTGTATAGGCGGAAGAGAAAAGCAAAAAGAAAAAAAATGGTTTGATGAAGAATGCGAGGATACCTTAAAAGAAGCAAACAAAAGAAAAATCGACTACCTAGCAAACCCGACGGATGGAAAGCGTGAACAATACAATAGAGAGAAAGCATTAGCCAGAAGAACAGTAAGGAGAAAAAAGAGACAACATTTACAACAACAAATTGAAAAAGTAGAACGTGAACACAGAAGCAAGCAAAATAAAAAATTCTACAAAGAAGTAAGACAACATAAGAAATGTGCACATATAAGAACACCGAACTTTGTGAGAGATAAAAATGAGCAAATGATTACAGCTGAAAATAAAATAATCGAAAGATAGGCTGAATACTTTGAAAGTCTTCTAAATGTCCAGGTAGACGCGGATGGAAATAAAGCAAATTGTGAGTACCAAACGGCCGAGATAGAAGTACGCCCGCCAAGCCTGGAAGAAATTATCACGGCGATAGAAACCCTAAAAATGACAAATCCCCGGGACTAGACATATTGATGCAGAACTGATTAAAAAAGGAGGGCATGAACTTAGAACTAAAATACACCAATTATTGAAAGAAGCCTGGGAACAAGAAATAATGCCAAAAGAATGGAGTGGCTGTATTATCGTGCCAATACATAAAAAAGGCAGAAAGGATACATGTGGCAACTACAGGGGAATCTCACTAATCGGTACTACATGTAAGATATTAGCTTCAGTTATACTAAAACGATTACTGCCATATACAGAGGAAATTATTGGCGATTACCAATGCGGCTTTAGGCCTGGAAGATCAACAATCGACCAAATATTTACTATCAGACAAATGCTAGAAAAGTATTGGGAATATAATAAAGAAGTACACCAGATCTTCATAGATTTCAAACAAGCATATGATTCCATAGATCGCTTAAAACTGTGGAGTGCAATGATGGAGTTAGGCGTACCAAAGAAGCTGACCATGATTGCGCGAATGTGTGTCAACAATTCCTTTGCACAAATTAGAATAGGAGGTAAAACTTCAAAGGCTTTCGGCATAAGCACCGGGCTCAGACAGGGAGACCTGCCGTCCCCATTACTATTTAACCTAGCATTGGAATACGCAATGCGAAAAATCTATACCAGAGTCAAACCAGATATAACTGCCCGAGGAGCAAAGATTATTCTCGAATTTGCAGATGATGTAGATGCAGTAGCACAGACAACACTGGAAGTTAAGGATATAGTATCGAACTTTGAAGAAGCAACACTAAGCGTAGGCCTGAGAATAAACGAAGAAAAAACTAAATACATGGTCGTGTCAAAAAAGGAACGACAGCGAATAAGACAAAACATTACCATAAACGATCATAATTTTGAGGTGGTCAAAGAATTCAAATACCTAGGAGCAACAATTACCAGTGAAAACACAGGAGAACGGGAGGTTGAAATACGAATACTGACGGGGAATAAATCATTCTTTGCCATTCAACATCTAATGAGGTCAAAGCTTCTCTCAAGGCGTGCCAAAATCCAAATGTACAAAACCATAATACGACCAGCAGTGACATATGGAAGTGAAACATGGACATTGAGAAAGAAAGAAATCAATAAGCTATTAGTATGGGAACGCAAAATCCTGCGAATTATGTATGGTCCTTGCAGGGACAGCGTGACAAATGAATCGAGGAGTAGATACAACAATGAAATAGAGACTCTCTTCGGGAAAGGAAACATCGTAAGATACATAAAAGCCAATAGATTAAGATGGGCAGGCCACGTGGTACGGAGTGATGACGACAGACTGATTAGCAATGTGTTTTGGGAAAGACCAGATGGTAAAAGATCGACAGGAAAGCCTAGAAAAAGGTGGAAAGACGCAGTCAGGGAAGACCTGGAGAAGATGGAAGTAAGGCCATGGGAAATAATAGCACAGGATTGGAATCAATGGAACGCAATAGTAAACGAGGCAAAAACTCACGAAGAGTTGTAAAAGCCAATGATGATGATTAGTTTAACACATTATTTTTAAAACTTTTTTGCCTCTTTTTTATTACAAAATGTCAAGTAGTTTGGGAGATAACGCAAAAAACAATTTTTATTTTGTAATTTCAAATTTTTTTGTGTTACACTTTTGTACTAGGGTAAGTTGGAGTAAATCAATTTATTTTTGTCCCCGGAATGCGTGATTTAATTTATGACATACCTTTTTGAAACACCCTGTATTTTATTTCTTATAATTTCTCATTAAGGTTTTTTGGTAAATTTTATCACTTCTTAAGTAATGTGTTAAATTTTTCCCGGAGTTTATTATACTATTTAAATATTATACTAAAGTTTATTTGTATCTGCCTTCCCATCAAGTGAAAAAAATAGTAAACTTTACTTAAAATAAGTGATTAGTCTTTTATTATTAATATTGATTTATTATCTTACCTGCAAAGAGAATATATTGAAGGCTCCCTAAAAAGATTGTAGCAATCTTCACAAATTCTGTCTAATCTTGCGAATATACTTTTATCGTAGACTCCTTTGCACTGTAAATCATAGAAGGATCTTTTCGTAATACGATGATGATTAAGAAGATTCGGCGACCTATTCACCAGGTTACCGGATACTATTTGAAGGAACAATCCAATTGCTAAGCACACCCAACCAACTTGAGTGTATCTTACACTCTGCGATGATCTGTGATTCATCTGAAACAAAAAAGAAATACGTCAGTAGGGTATTTTATCACATTTTTTGTTAAAAATATGTGACATATCTTTTTTTTATTTATTTACGCTGTAACCACCAGGGTTATTTGCGACCTAAATGTATAATACAGCTAAAGTTAGAATAAAATTACAATAATTGATACAGTCCTGAATCTTTAAGATAACTTATTGTGTTTTTATTGTTCATGTTTTTTCCTAGGGCTTCCTTTATATTATTTGGGATAGTGGGCTTCTTTCTTGCTGCTTCATATTTTTTGCTCTGAGTTAGTATATGCTTCACGGAGAGTGTTACGTGACACGTTTCACACATTGGCGGCACAGTTCGCGTAAAGAGGTGTTTATGTGTAAAGTTACTGTGTGCTAGTCGCAAACGTGTTATTCTCACTTGGTGTGTCTATTCGCTGTGGGTTGGAGCCCACGGTTTCACTAATTGTTTAATTTCTTTTAGTTTATTTTGTGATGCACTCCACTTATTTTGCCACGCACTTAACACTTTATGTTTTATTTCTGACTTAAAGTCATCTGAAGAAACCTCATTAATAAGAATGGAGTCCTGGCTGAAGGATGCTAAGCGGGCTAGTTCATCTGCATCTTCATTTCCTAGTATACCTGAATGTGATGGAACAAACGTGAAGTCAACAGTGATCTTACTAATATTTAGAATCTCTATTTCTGATTTGATATGTGAGGAAATTGGATTATTGGTATATAAAGGTTTGATAGTTTGAAGTGAGCTTAGTGAATCGGTTATTATGAGAGACGGGGACTATTTCGACTCTTTTATGTTGATAAGGGCTTGTAATATTGCAAACAACTCCGCAGTATACGACGAAGTAATGAGATTGAATTTAAATTTTAAGGATGTATTGGGTGTAAGGATGGCTGCACCAACACGTCTGAAGATTTGGATGCGTCATTGTATATCTTATAGTGATTTTTATTTCCATTTCTGTTAAGAATGATTGTTTGATCAGGTCTGTTATAGTCTCACGTTTTTTATATATACTAAGGTCAGTATTAATCTTGTGAATTGGTATTAACCAAGGTGGAGAAGTTAGAAAATTTGTTGGGAGAATTTCAGGAAATTTAAGATGTAGGTCATGAAGGTTTCTTCTAACTCTTTCGTAAAATGGTGGATCTAGTCTTCCTGTAGAGAAAGTGTCTTGAAATCGATCTGTGAACGTATTGGTATAAGTAGGGTGTTCTTTATATACTAGCTATTTTAGAAGCATATGAGAGAGAAAGGTATTTGCGTCGTAAACGTAGTGGTGGTTTCTCCTGTTAAGCATTGTAAACTTTCAACTGGGTGTCGTGCGAAACGCGCCTGTAGCTATTCGTAAAGCTGTGTTTGAACAGTTTCTAATGTTTTCAATACTGATACTTTGCTTGATGAATAAACTATCGCACCGTAGTCGAGTTTGGATCTAATTAAAGATTTATATACATCTAATAGTGTATTTTGATCTGCTCCCCAGTTTTTGCTGGAAATAGTTTTCATGAAATTTAGTCCTGCTTGGCATGATTTTATAAGTTCTTCTGTATGTTTTGTCCAGGAGAGCTTTTGGTCGAAAACCATATCTAAAAATCTGATATTAGTTGTGAAACAAAGGGTTTGATTATATAGCTTTAGATGTGGAGGTAGAGTGTTATGTTTTCGTGTGAATAAAATACATTTAGTTTTTGTCGGTGAAAATTGTAATCCGATAGTCCTAGACCATGATTCTAACTGATTAATTGTTTGTTGTAAGTGTTTTTGAAGAGATGTAGGGTTTTTTTTCTTTGGCAAATAAAACTAAGTCATCAGCGTATAATCTTCCTTTAACAATCGGTAAGCATTGTTGAAGTATGTCGTTTATGGCTATTAGGAAAAAGTGTTGAGCATATAACTGATTCTTGTGGTACTCCGTTCTTTTGAACTTTTTTATCTGAGTTAGCGTTGTCTGATCGAACTATGAAGCTGCGAGAATGAAGAAAATTTGAAATAAATTTTAACATATTGCCTCTGATATTTCTCTGATAATTATGCAATTTTGATATTGTATATACTGTATCGCCAGACAGTATCATAAGCTTTATTAAATTAAAAAAAAACTGCGATACAATCTTGCTTATTTGCAAATGCTTCATGTATTCCTGACCCTAAGTCTATTAGGTTATCTATAGTGGATCTATTTTGCCTAAATCCGCTTTGTTGTGGAATAAGGAGTTTTTATTGTTCTAAATACCATCTCAGCCTTTTATTTACCATTTTCTCTAACACTTTACATATAATATTGGTTGAAGATATTGGTCGATATGACTCAGGTAATGTCCTGGATTTCTCAGGTTTAAGAAGTGGTAGTATTATTGCTTCGGACCAAGTTGATGGAAAAACCTGGTTACTCCAGATAAAATTATAAAGGTGTAGTAATATATTTTTTCCATTATCTGGTAGATGTAGTAGAAATGCTAAGGGGATACCGTCTGGTCCTGGGCTTGAATCTTTGGAAGAGTTTAAAGCTTCAGCAAGTTCTATGAAGGAAAAAGGAACGTTAAGGTTGTGAATCTCATGTCCGTCGAATCCCAATACGTTTTTTCTACGTTGTTTTTATGTATTTTAAAATTATCAGTGTAATTTTCGTCACTGGAATTTAATTCGTATTGGTCTGCTAACATATCTACGATTTCTTTTCTATCACTAATTATTTTGTTATTTTTGCTAAAAAAGGAATCTTATATGGTTGGCTTTTGCCAAAGATTTTCCTTAAGTTTCTCCAAACTGTACTTATGCTTGAAGAGGTATTTAGAGATGAGATGAATTTTCTCAAGGATTCTTTTCTATTTTTTTTTAGAATATCTTGCCTCAGCTCTTCGTTTTTTGTAGTCCGTTATGTTTTCGTCTGTTTTATGATGCTTTAGTTTATTGAAAGATTTCTTATACGCTCTTGTAGCTTGGCTGCATTCAGATGTCCACCACGGAAGAGGTTTGTTTTTAAAAATTTTTGTTTTTCTTATGTACGTCTCTGCGGCTGTTGTGATGATTTGTAAAAATGTACTTAAAAACTTGTCAATGTCGTTTGATGATGTAAAGTTGGTTTGGTTAATGTCCTGTTCAATCTGCTTGGTAAAATTAGTCCAATCAGCATTTTCAATATTCCATTTTGAAATAGGCGATTCAATATTTGTGGTTTTTTGATGTGTTAAAGAAATTATAATGGGGTAGTGGTCACTACCATATAAGTAGGGTAGAAACGTCCATATCTTTAGTACCGGTGTACCAGTAACTCAAATATAGAATAATACGTATGTTAAGATTCAACTAAAGATACTATCTAGATGATGGAAAATCTTGTGATTGATCTAAATATGAGGGAAGTACCAGATGATGAAATACTTCACCGAAAAGAAATGTTGCCTCAATACTAAAACAGCACAAAAAATTCAGGAGCTGAGCAAAATAAAGCTGACTTTAGACAATGGTTAACTCGAAATTGTAATAATATTTATAAATGTAAATGCAAGTCTGTTCTGCTTCATTAACAGCTAAAATATAAAATTTAAAATACGAATTTCACATGTGCCTTTATCTAAGCCAATCACGAGTCAGTAATCATGTTTTCAGTAATCTATTGATTTTAAATTTGAACTTTCAATTCAATAGTTTCATAAAAATAATTAATAAGTTTTATTCATTATTTAATGCCGTAAAATTGAATTATAACGACTATTTTTCTCATCTACTGTATTTTTTCCAAATTAAATATAAATTTATGGCTTTGGCATAATAAACCCTGTCTTCGGGGTTGGGAACATTGATTTTGAATTTAAGATCTGGATTTGGTAAAAACTTTGACCAAAAAAACAGAAGTTTGATAAGATGGCACAAGAAAACATTTACAGAATAATGTCAGTGGGTCGTTTATTTAATTATATTATATTTTATAAAGACAAACTATTATCTACATTAGTAGAAAAAACAGTAATTAATTATATTTAACAAAATTTGGACAAGCTGTATTAAATATTAAACTAACAAAATAACTAAAATATTTTGTTGGACATACGCTGGAGATAAGAAAGATCTGTTGTGTACGAAAGCGGAAATTGTAGGTCGTTGTAAAGAGGTGAAATTTCATTAATAAATTGTGGGGAGATTTGCTCGATTGACTAGTAGTAAGGATTTTGTGAATGACTGACTTCGTAAGATAATTGTCCCTTACATTTGTACATAAGTACAGAGAATTTAACACACGCGTTAAAGAAAAATAATCTTGGATAAGGAGAGTATAATTGTACGTGAATGTGATGAATCAGAAAATTATCATAAGCACATGGTAATTTCAATATTCATTAGTAACATCTACATTATATAATCGAAAATACACTCGTATATATATACAGTGAAACTTGGATAATTCGAATCTCAGGAGACCGCTAAAAAAATTCGAATTATCCAAAAATTCGAGTTATCCAAAAATCTACAAAAAGCAATGATACTTACAAAAGCATCTGCAAACGATAAAATTCGATACTTTTGCAGATGTTTTCGTTCCTATTCTTACCCGAATTTTGTCAATCGAAAAAATGAGCTAACAAAATTCGGCCAAAATACCAAATAAAACATTTACAAGCTATAAAAATGGTCAATTATTGTAATTATGGCAGGTGTTCTCATTGTTATTTTCGGCCAATCTTGGTCGATAAAAACCGCACAGTGAGAACGTGTCATTTAAAACAATAAAAATCATTTTGTCCAAAAAAATTATTGAAAATAAGATTATTTGTTACATTATTAACAAAAAAGACAAGTTTTTAACTGTTAAAGAGTTTAACTTTTTCCAAAGAAATCTTAAATTTTTAGCTGCTTTTTAGAATTCAGCATATGACAATGGCAATGAATTCTAAGGTGAACTAAAAATAGAGTCACTTACATCATTTTTACTTTCAAAGTACGTCTAAGTTGTGTAATATGGTTCGTTGCTTCGGCTGCACTGCAACATATTCAT